CTGTTTTTTTACATTACAGGCAGAGTTCTTGCCTGCATGGTCCTGATATGCACAAATTTCAATTACCATGGTTTACACTAAGGTTTAGTTCATTACCAGCTACTCGGGAGGCTGAGGCAGAAGGATTGCTTGAGCCCAGGAGTTTGAGGTTGCTGTGAGCTAGGCGGATGCCATGGCACTCTAGCCCAGGCAACAGAGTGAGACTCTGTCTTTTAAAAAAAAAAAAACAGTGCTATAATTTCTATTCCCCTATTACAGAATAAAGCTTTAGGCACAAGCTGGACCTAGAAACTGTTTATGATCGAGTGATAGGAAACATTTTTAGATTTCTATTGCCAAGTATTTGGCTTTCCTAGTCTAAATTATTTAGTCTGGGTTAGTTTGCTGGAGATTTTTTGTTCTGGGTGGAGGGAACGATGGAGCTTTGATTTGACAGAGAGCTATTCAGGTTTCTCACACAGTTTTTTGATCACTCTAAAACTAGTTCTTAATGGCAAATCAAGTCAGCTGGATTAGATAAACTGAATGGTCCCTTATTAGTCTAAAACTCCACAGTTTAAAAAAGAGACATTTTCTATATGTATCCTATGGTTAGAACAGAGTTAAATTTAAACCTGCCTTTTCTGATTTTCAATTCATTCCATTTCAGAACCAGTAAATTACCAGATAATGTACACATGTCTACGAAGTCTTTAAAAGTTCTTTTAACCATTTTTGCATTGGAAAAAATTATGTTTTTAAGAAAAATAAAACATTCTGAGAGAAGCATAGCACATTTTTTTAATACCAAGGTTTAAGAGCCAATTAAAGACATAAACTGTAGTTGCCTGCTTCTGGATAACATTCTTTATAAAGAAAGAACATTAGTTCCATGAGAAAAGGCATGGCAATAACTGGAAATAGTTGTTAAAGGAAGAACTACATTTAAGTTGGTTGTTGTTTTGACTATTCTAAGGGTACAAGGTGTTGGAATTAGCCCTTACATTAAAGAAATCGTTTTCATACTTTAGAACCTAGTGTCTTGGGATGGGAAGCAAAAGAGATTTATCACACACAGATTTATTCTCTTTGGGATATTCTAGCCAACTTCCTGTGTATTTTCCTTTCATTAAATGCTTTAGGATGAATGCATAAATGGCCATAATAGCTACACTCTAACTCTGACCCACAAATCCTATAAAACATAAAATATTCAAATGATATGGTTTTTTAACTGTGGAATTAAAATTTAGGCAATCTTTTTAACTGAAGGCTTAAATTTTTCCTTTTTTTCCTCTTCCCAAATCAGAGCCATGGGAAATTTCTTGTAAAGCTATTCCACATCTTATCTCCATAGGAAAATTCAGCACTCAAGCAAATTAATACTACAATACTCCAGCCCGAGCAAGAGTGAGACCCCATCTCTACTAAAAATAGAAAGAAATTAATTAGACAGCTAAAATATGTATATAGAAAAAATTAGCCAGGCATGGTGGCACATGCCTGTAGTCCCAGCTACTCGGGAGGCTGAGGCAGAAGGATTGCTTGAGCCCAGGAGTTTG